GTATCTTCTGATGAAAAGTAAAATAATGCGTAAATACATACTTGTGTTTGTGAGGACAGAAGGGAATGGAGGAACATAATCCAAACAAAAGTGCTCCGTAAAGATCATGAACCTTATCACTGAGGAACATGACGCAAGGAGAGGACTTTTGTATGCTGTAAGCCGGAGGTAGGACCATCCTCTTTATTTCTACTGCAAAGCAGTCATGGATTAAAGTTTGAAGAGAGAATAGTCCTTGCCCAATACAAATGTGATTTCGACCTCTTATCTCAAAGTGGGTCACAGCATTCAAGTTGTCAATATTTCCGAGCCTCGCTGCCGCGGACTTACGGATAAGCAGTAAGCTCGCCCAGGCGATGCTAAAGTCGGAACCTTTAACATTAAAATTTTAAATAAGACTTCAAACAGAATATATTGTATTGTGTGTATACAGTGCTCTGAGGAATTGTTTGAGATGATACTCTCATCTTCTTTTTATCATCGCACCTCTCGCCATCGGAGCAGAGTTCATCCATATTATCTGGAACCACTGCGTTTATCGACAGTGCGTTTCCAGAGGTCTTTTTTGCCACGTACCATCCGGCTATGGAATGAGCTCCCCTCCACGGTGTTTCCCGAGCGCTATGACATGTCCTTCTTTAAAAGAGGCTTGTGGAGAGTATTAAGCGGTAGGCAGCGGCTTGGCTCTGCCCTTGGAACTGCTAAAGTCCATGGGCGACGGTAACCACTCACCATCAGGTGGGCCGTATGTTCGTCTGCATACAAGGGCAATAAAAATATATATAGGTATAAAAAATGTTTAATTTACATAAAGAAAATGTATCATCAGATCCTCTGTGGCTTGTCTGTCTCTTTCAATACATTTGATAGGTTAGATGAGTCGATAGATGCCACAGAAAACCTGACACTCTGTTCCACATTCGAGGGTTATTTAGCAGGATCCCGGCTGCTTTAGCTACATTACAAACAAACTGGAATGGTATTTCAACAGCTCACCTGTATCATTCTTCAGGACGGCTACTTTAGCTATATTAGAACGGTTGAAGCTAGTCAACATCAGGTGGGCCATATCCTCGTCTGCCTACAAGGCCAATAAAAAGATTACGCTCCAAAACCTCTTTCATTTTTAATACGCTTTTATTAGCTTCCGAGTCATCCGAGTGTCTTCGCAGAGCCCTTGAATACTTTGGTCACATCGCACGGAAGGATGGTAGCAATCTCGAGAGGCTCATCGTGACGGGTAAGGTAGATGGGAAAAGACCTCGGGGGCGCAGCCCAATACGTTGGTCCGACCAGATCCGCACCGCTCTTGATTCCACGTTTCACAACGCCCTCCACACCGTCAGAGACAAGAATGGATGGTAAAAGATAGTGCGTGCGAAGGTGATACAAAAGGGTGGTCACGACCCTCAGCAATGAGAAATACGACGCAAGGAGGAGGATTAGCTTCAGACGTATGTATGTAACGGAATCTTTGAACATGATTTTGACTCCCTTCAAAACGTCGGATTAACTCGAAAGGACAATGCCCATTTTCTATGGGCGTTTGGGCCCCTAAAAAAAGTTGTCGGGTGATGATGATTTTAACTTAATTTGATAGACAAAGAAATATCGTTTCATATTCAGAAAACGTATTTTATATTCTCACCCAGGTTTAAGAGAAATATGTTTTTTTCTGCAGCTAAAATTAAGTTGTTAATTGTTTTCTTCGAAATCAATAATCGCTCTCATCATTATTTACAGTATTAAATAAGTTAATTGTGGTTAATGTTGCTAGAAATAAGCCCTTACGTACATTTTATTATTATTATATCCTCATAATAATAATAAAATGAAATGAAATCCGAAAGCCGGCAACGATATTGTTGTTGTTGTTTTTAAATTCGCCAACAAGCAGGCAAAGAGCGTAGCCTATACAGCCTAGTCTGTCGTAGTTATATTTTTTATATATTTTTTATGTTAATAAAAATCCGGTGTATTTCTTTTTATTGCTTTTTGGGAGTTTTAACGTCAACTTAATGAATAGCACATTGAGTGAGCGTGAATTTCCGCAGACCTTTTATCTTGAAAAAAAAAAACAGTCACTGCTATGTTAGCCACAGTCTTATTCCAATACGTTTAATACACAAAACAACACCCAATTTGTATATTATACATCACAATAAGCTATTAAAAAAACATTACAATAAAACTTCAAGTGACGCTTCACTCGGGTTGCTGCCAAAACACTCTGATCATATATAATAAGAATAGAGTAATAGTAGGCCATTGAGATTTTTACTAATGGAATCATTAATATCTAAAAATCTATATATATAAAAGAAAGTCGTGTTAGTTACTTCACTTATAACTCAAGAACGGCTGAACCGATTTAGCTGAAAATTGGCAGGGAGGTAGTTTAGAGCCAGGAGAAGGACATAGGATACTTTTTATCCCGTTATATAAAAAAAAATGTGTGCGTGTACTAGTGTACACACGTAAGAAGTGAAACTTGTTTATGGCCTTATTTTTCGAAAAATGATCTACATGCAACTTTCTAGAAATTGGTTAAATAAAGTTAAATTAGATAAAGTTTAAACAAAAGGATTTTATTATCATAGACATGAATACAAATAATACAATTATTTCACTTTACCTTTNGTCGATTACTTGAATGATGTCAATATATGTAAAAATGAATTGCTGTTCGTTAGTCTCGCTAAAACTCGAGAACGGCTGGACCGATTTGGCTAATTTTGGTCTTTTATTATTTGTATAAGTCCAGAGAAGGTTTAAAAGGTAGATAAATATGAAAATGCTCGGAATTAAATAAAAATAACAATTTTGTTTTTTCTTTGATGTGTCCTCCGACGGACGGATTTCGTTTGTTTGTTTTAAGTTTATTTTATACAAAAGTAGGTCTTTTATTTATCGATTGAGGCACTACGAAGTCTGCCGGGTCGGCTAGTATTAAATAATTCATGGTTTTAAGTAATAATTATTATTACAATACATAAATATTGAACTGAACAACAATAAACTAAAAAGTCTGTGAATTATAACCATTAGCTATTTTTTTTTAATTTGTAGTTCAAGTCACAGACAACTCTTTCGTTTGTCAGCATATAGGTTTACTATAAGGCTGTATGGGCTAATTTTCCCTTTGTCTATTGGCGAATTTAAAAACTATGGCACTCAGTTTTGGGATGTTATCATATAAGTAATTAATTTTTTTGTAAAACAATGCCAGGGTGAAAGAAATGTTGATACATAAACTAAACAACATGAAAAAATAAGGCATAGTTTTTCAAGTACAAATAGTTTTGTCATGAAGTTGGCCCACTTTTGGGCATTGTCCTTTGGTATACTTGTTCAGGACCGATGAAAATTCAATATTAAAAAAAAAATCAACTAAAAAATGAAAAATAAGTAATACTTTAAAAAAAAATACGCTTTTATAGAAAATCCAACTAAAAAATAGAAAATAAATTTGAATTAAAAATAGTGTAAGAAAAAATGTTTTTTTTTTGTATTAAAGCGTGGGGTGCTTTTCAGGATATAATCAAAATAACACTTCCACTCATATCTGTTCATAAAATATTTATAACTGCTGATACTATGCATGATATTTTTTAGTTGGTTTTTCTATAAAAGCGTATTTTTTTTTACTATTATTTATTATTCAAAATGTTTTATAGCTTTGTATATTTTCAAGCTGGTGAGACAAGAGGCAAAACGTTCATGCTTCGGCATTCCCTACCGTTTCCATTGTAACACCGATCCATTGGTTCCCGGCGGGTACGAGCCTCCAGACCCCAATCGGATCAGAACGTCTCGCAGCCGTAAATCGTGATACAAGTTTATTTAGACGGACTACGCTTTATTTGCGGGGTGTGTTTACACTGAAATTTCAGAATTTGCTATTGAATCTGTATACATGTGATTTTGTTATAGTTTAATATTTTGGATTTAAGTCCGCAGATTTTCCCGCGTTGCCGACACCTTCAATAGCACGAGCGGAAATTTGAACTTCGCAGTGGGTTAAAAAGTGCCCTACATTCTTTCTTATAGTTATCAAGAAGGATATTGTAAAACGCATTCTCTATTGAACAGGATTTTTTATTTTTATTTTATTTTATTGCGTAGATGGGTAGACGATCTCACAGCCCACCTGATGTTAAGTGGTTACCGGAGCCCATAGACATCTACAACGTAAATGCGCCACCCTCCTTGAGATATAAGTTCTAAGGTATCAGTATAGTTACAACGGCTGCCCCACCCTTCAAACCGAATCGCATTACTGCTTCACGGCAGAAATAGTCCTACCCATGCAGACCTAGAGGTCCTACCACCAGTAATTACGCAAATTATAATTTTGCGGGTTTCATTTTTATTACACGATGTTATTCCTTCACCGTGGAAGTCAATCGTGAGCGTTTGTCAAGTACGTATTTCATTAGAAAAATCGGTACCCGCCTGCGGAATTCGAACACCGGTGCATCGCTCGATACGAATACACCGGACGTCTTATCCCTTAGGCCACGACGACTAGGCATTTCCGCGAAAAGGCTGACAAACATAGGCAGAGAACACATAATACATAAATTAAAACAAATTTTCATTCAACACATTTAATTCCTATACACTACACTATACAATCAACAGTTACTATACAGACTTCTAATTCGAAGATTTTATTGCTGTTGCTCACAGCTTATTTGCTATTAAGAGGTAACGTCCGCCGATACTAAATTAATAATTCCGCCATTTTTACACGAAAATCAGGGCTCTCAATACGTATAATGAGATACCATAATGATTCATACATTTTCCTACTTAACTTCTTCGTGCGTATTAATTATACGTACAACATGGCTTTTGAAAAATCGCTCAAAGCGATATGGCCGTCACAGAAGTTTTATATTTGTTCCAGTCAATGGTACTGATGACGTTGGCTGTAGTGACGTAGCTTAGGCTTAATGACGTCACACACCATAATCGATTTTTCGACGGTGACCATTTAATACTAGATGCTATAAAAAAAAAGCCCACGGACTAAACTAAAGCAAATCCAACACGTTTTCACATCTCGTACATTTATCACTATTTACGGTGGCTGTATACTTTCGACACCTTAGGCACTGATCGTGGCTGCTCTGTGACAGTTCAACTTCGAACAATCTGATGTCACTTGACGGGTGAAGTTTGACAGATGACAGTTCTAGAATCTCGCACAGCACGCTGTCACTGTCACTATCGGATCGATTCAGCGGATTTAATTCGCCGAACAAATCATTACTCAATTTGATATTAGCGCAAAATCTTTTCAGATCTTCGTTCTTCGTTATAACGCATATTTCGCGTTTTATCTCTAAAATCGAGTTCATTAAATGCGTTTCTATCGGTTTAACGGGCAGCACCGGTATATCGGGGGTCATGAAGAACGGTTTCTCGTACAGAGGATGGTAGCGCCACGCTTCCTCGATTAAGTGCGGTAATATAGGCGCTATGGCTTTGGACAGAGAGACCAGAATCGCGTGCACGACCAACTGGGCAGACAGGCGCTCGTCCGAACCTCTGCGCGCACAGTACAATCTATCTTTGACGCAATGACAATACAATGCGGACACTTTGCTGCTAACGAAATTCAGTATCGCTTGGGCCACATTATTGTACCTATAGTTATTGTAATGATCCTCGATTCGCTTCAAAAACTCATCAGTTTCCTTCCGCATGTACCCATCGAAGTAATTCAGATTCGGTTCCCGATTAAAATCGGTTTTATCCAAATCACTTATCACGCCCAATAAGTACTTTAAAATGTTACGTATCCTTATCACTTCGGATCGACAGTCGTCTAGAAGATTCCTGCTTATGATTATGTGTGAGTGCTGCGTAGAATGACTAGCTACCCACCACCTGCGGAAATAAAAAGGGTATGTATCTTGACCTAAAACTCGAGAATCGCTAGTCCAATTGATATAAAACTTTGCACACATATAAAGAGTCATGTGACCGCTCTGATGATAATAGTTGCGTTAGTGCCAGATGGCGCTGCCGGCAGAAATTGTAGACAGCGGCTTGGCTCAGCCCCTGGCATTGCTGAAGTCCATGGGCGACGGTAACCACTCACCATCAGGTGGGCCGTATGCTCGTCTGTCTACAAGGGCGTGTTTAGTTTTCGAATCGTTTTGTTGCTTTTGTGTTTTAATATAAAATTGCATTTTTTTGCGGGCGAAGCCGCGGTCGCATCTAGTATCTAATACTTTAATTTCATATATCTCGTTTCATTCAATTTTATCTCAATCGACAAAGGTTTCAAATAAATCAACATCTCATGTATTTAATAAATTGAATTTTTTTACAAACTTTGACACTGGCAATAATGGCTTCGCTTTCGAAACTGATTGCCATATAAAAAAAAAAGAAGATAAAAAACTACACATATTTTATTGTTAGTTAAGCTAATAAACATCGTTTCCCGTTCAATTTAAAGTGGACTGGTGCTTTTAGGTACCTCAAGCACCGGTCATCGTTCTCGTCGAACCCGTCGCTTGCGACGAAGGGCTCGACGAGTAAATTAACCCACAGACACAGCCCACTGAGTTTCCGGATCTTCTCAGTGGATCGCGTTTCCGATCCGGTGGTAGATTCTGCGAAGAACGGCTCTTGCTAGGGTTCGTGTAGCAACGTCGTCAGGTTTGAGCCCCGTGAGCTCATCTACTAGCTAGGGTTACGCTGATATAGCCTCACAAGGCTCTCAGCTTAGGTAGGAAAAAAAAAGTTGCACTATTTTAGAACACCCTGTATGCGTTACCTCAACGTATCAACACCGTAGGCCGATTGATTTTTTCCCTTGCTCCCGTTGATTATTGCGTCCGGATCGATCACGTTACCAACGGATTTCGACATCTTACGTTTGTTCTCGTCGACAACGAAGCCGTGGACGAAAATAGATCTATATATATAACAGAAAACAACACGCTATATATATTTATCGAAAAAAACAAAAAAACAACACACTTTATTATATAGTCATCGCGAATGGCATGTCAACACTGCGACGGGAGGTGAACATTTCAATAGTTTCCTATATTATAAAATGTTAAGTGGTTACTGCGGTCCGTGGACATCACGTCACGGACATCCGTCATGTTAGTACAGCTAAATGAAACGATAGTTTCATAAAAAATGCATTACTAAAAAAAACTAGCAATGAAACACAAAATCAAAAACAGCTGATGCTCGGGTCAACGAACGCCCGGGCGCGGCGGATACCGCGCACCCCAAATTTTACAACTTTGTAGCTAAAAAAATTTTTGTTTTCGGAAGCGGTCTCCTAATACCCAGTATTATGTTCCTACGTCGTGCAAATCGGTTTTGCAAGCACGGGACATGTTGAAGAATCGCTTGGCCTGTGGGACCTTCATATCCCGATATCGATAGCATCACTAGTAATTTTTACAGCTACCTTCAAATTTACTGGTGGTAGGACCTCTTGTGAGTCCGCGCGGGTGGGTACCACCACCCTGCCTATTTTTGCCGTGAAGCAGTAATGCGGTTCGGTTTGAAGGGTGGGGCAGCCGTTGTAACTATACTGAGATCTTAGAACTTATATCTCAAGGTGGGTGGCGCATTTACGTTGTGAATGTCTATGGGCTCCAGTAACCACTTAACACCAGGTGGGCTGTGAGCTCGTCCACCCATCTAAACAATTAAAAAAAAACCTTCAAATCTCGATATCGATAGCATCACTAGCAATTTTTACAGCCACCTTCAAACATATGAATATACAAAGACACGAAAATTTGAGAGCCACTTTCCGTACAATTTTTTGAAGCGATCTTATGTAGTAGTTGTTATGGTCGAATTTAGTTTGTTGCACTATTATTCAGTACTAATAGCCTCTCCCCCCAACCCCTCTCCCCAACTAATCAAGTGGCGTTTATAAGCAGCAACCCTGCAATGCTTCTTTGTAGATATGATCCCAAAAGCCTACGTACTTATATGGAGGTTTCTCATTCAAGGCCAGTGACGTCAGCAGCGAGGCTTGGAACCAGCCGGTGAGCTGGTCGACCCCCTCGCAGTACAGGTCAGCCGTTCTGCCGTCCAGGGTGCTCCAAGACAGCCCCGAGTCCAGCCATATATCCATTATATCCTGGAATTTGATGAGCGGTTTCTTTCTTTTGTGTAGATAGGTTAGTATTGTAATTGTTTAATTTTATATTGTGAATAAAATTATTTCTTGACATTTTAGGTTAGATTAGTTTTTATTGTCGTGTTGTTTTGTCGTACAGTTGTAAGGAACGTTGTTGTACAAATTCAGCACTATGTCTTGTTTTATCGTGCGCACATATTTTATGTTGCAAGCCAGATTTTGTTTCTTTTTATTTGTGTTTTTTTATGTATATTTTTAGCTTGTAATGTGTATTGTGAGCCTAATAAATAAATAAATAAAAAAGATACACTACAAATATTTACTTGTACAATCTATGTACTCTAATGTGATAAACGCGAAAGTTTGTAAGAATGTATGGATGTATATTTGGTTAATCTTTCACGCAAAAACTACTGAATGGATTTTGATGAAACTTTACAGTCAACTCACGAGCCACCTGGTGTTAAGTGGGCACAGGAGCCCATAGACATCTACAACGTAAATGCCGCCACCCACCTTGACATATGAGTTCTCAATTTTAACACAGTACAACCGGCTGCCCTGCCCTTTAAACCGAAACGCATTACTGCTTCACGGCAGAAATAGACAGGGTGGTGGTACTTACCCGTGCGGACTCAGAAGACGTCCTACTATTAACAATACTGATGTGAATAAAAACGCATAGGCAGATATACAAAAAAAAAAATATTATTAAAGAAAAATCGACTTTATCGTTGTAGAAATAAAATTACCTTTCCTTTTTCTATTTGTCGGTCACTTAACGATTTAAGTAGTTCGTCGGGTAGGAGACTCTTCACGTCACAAGTCCACCATGTATCAGTTCCTTCCTTGTCTATTAGAGCGCACAGCTTATCTATGACACCACTGCAGAAAGAGAATATTATGTTTTTAATATCGAACCTTCAGAGTTGAAGTGGATTAACTAAAAATTAAAAGAATATAAAAAAAAATGCTTTTATTAGCGTCAGACGTATGTATGTTTGTAACGGAATCTTTGAACATGGTTTTGACCTCCTTCAAAACGTCGGATTAACTCGAAATTTGACATACTCGTTAAGGACCGATGACAATTCAATATTTAAAAAAAAAATAGAAAAATAAAAAAGTTGAAAAATTTGAAATTCAACTAATAAATGAAAAAGAAATCATAGTTTAAAAAAAATAGAACGAGAAAATAAATTTTAATACATTTTAATTAAAAATAGTGTAAGAAAGAATGATTTTATTGTAAAAAAAGCGTGGGGTGCTTGGTGTCAGTAGCTATAAATATTTTATGAACAGATATGAGTAGAAGGGTTCTTTTGATAATATCTTGAAAAGCACCCCACGCTTTTTTGCAATATAATCATTTTTTCTTACACTATTTTTAATTCAAATTTATTTAAAAAAAAAACTATTTTTTAGTTGGATTTTCTATAACAGCGTATTTAGTTAGTTTTTTTTTAAACTATTATTTATTTAAACGACTTATAAACATAATTTTACAAACATAAATAATACATGTATTATTTATGTTTGTAAAATTATTATTTTTTATATTAAAAATATAATTTAAATTTTGGTTAGAAAATGCAACAAAGTACACTTACCGCGACTTTTAAATCGAGCTTAAGGCTTAAAGTATTAAAATCAAAACTGAAAAATTACAATTCTTAAGATTAATTTTTACCGTTATAATTTTTACCGTTTACCAAAAAACAATTTTTTTGTATTAAGCCACTTCTAAAGGTGCGATTATGTCAATATAATTTTGCTTCGTTTTTAGCCCGTTTATCATTTGAGATAGGGTTTTTTCCTTTATTAGATGGGTGGACGAGTTCACGGCCCACTCGGCATAAGTGGTTGCCGAAGAAGCCCATAGACATCTACAACGTAAATGCCGCCATGACTCGTGAGTTCTAAGTTACGTTTCGGAAAAATAGCACCCTATACCTTGATAAAAAAAAAAAAATTGCTTAGATGGGTGGGACGAACTCACAGCCCACCTGATGTTAAGTGGTTACTGGAGCCAATAGACATCCACAAGGTAAATGCGCTACCCACCTTGAGATATAAGTTCTAAGGTCTCACGTATAATTAATTACATCATGTTACTTTTTCTAGTAAATTTATTTTACTATAATTTTCATGTAATCCCTCCCTGATTTGGCACTAGCAGTGGGGTATTGCGACCGACACAGGTAATGTACCACCGTCATACTTATTACGGTACCTAACCCATTCATCAGCCCGCTGAGTTTCTCGCCGGATCTTCTCAGCGAGTCGCGATTTCGATCCGGTAGTAGATTCACTCTCGAAGCAGCTGCTATGAGTTGTTAGGTCTCCTTCGGAGGCGCTCGGGCAGCTGCTACCTAATCCCACCCTCCTGGCTGAGCCTTTGCTCGCCCACCTATCCTGGTGAAACCGAAAAGGCCTCCGGGCCCCTAGTAATCTTTTAATACAAAAAAAAATGCGGTCGTGAAACAATCGTTACGTCACCCTTCAGTACTCACATATCAACAATGACGTCACCGTCCGCATAGAAAGCCGGAATCGGCACGCCCCAAGCCCTCTGTCTGGATATACACCAGTACGGCCTCTTCTCCAACTGAGCCTTGAAGCCCTGGCGAGATTGAGCGCTGCTGGATGGCGGTAGAATATCTACGCTATCTAAGGCTCTCTGTAAACATAATAATTTAGTTCGATTTATCAAGCTTGTAACTATACTTGAGACCTTAGAAATTATATCTGAAGGTGGTTGGCGCATTTACGTTGTAGATGTCTATGGGCTCCAGTAACCACTTAACATCAGGTGGGCTGTGAGATCGTACACCCATCTAAGCAATAAAAAAAAAACAGTCACTCACCAAAGCCGGCTCCTTAAGTTTCGCCGTATCAATGAACCATTGTTCGCTGGCCCTGATGATGATCGGTTTCTTCGTCCTCCAGTCCAGAGGATACGAGTGGATATACACCCCGCGGTGTATAACTGAAGACCCAAGACGCTTGACCACTTCCTCCTGTCCTTCACTTAGGACGTGGAGCCCGTCGAGTTGAGGATCCAGGTTAATGTAACGACCAGCTTCGTCCACTTTGCATTCCTGGAAGGTGTTATGTTAATTATGTAGCTTTTTTCACTGTTGTCTATCAATATGTCAAGGTGTATTCTTTTCGTACTTTTTGCGTTTAGTAGAGAAAGCGTGAGTGGTTATTTCCAGGTCCAGGGTGAGTTTGAGGGTACCAGGTTACGAGGAAGATCGCCTTTAAGGTGAAATGACCAGATAAAAGCGGCAGTGAATAGCTTATCATCATTACACGAATGCGGAGGGCGGCCGTCAGAGGAATGGCGGCGCGTTGTGAAGCTTGCTATCAACGCCTGAAGTGTAGACCACGACCACTCTGTCAAGAGCGATATCAACTAGGAGGAAGTAGAGGAAGCTATTCCTTCACCGTAGAAGTCCTTGCTTCTGCCGTTTGATCTCATGTCTCGTCTTATGGATGACGGAATTCACATTGAGAGGCACACAATCTTCCATAACCTGGTACACCGGGCCGTAAGCAAGACTAAGCATTACAAACAAAAGCACTTTACTGGTGGTAGGATTTCTTGTGAGACCGCTCGGGTGGGTACCACCATTCTGGCTATTTTTGCCATGAAGCAGTAATGCGTTTCGGCTTGAAGGGTGGGACAGCCGTTGTAACTATAGTTGAGACCTTAGAACTTATATCTCAAGGTGGGTGGCGCATTTACGTTGTGGATGTCTACGGGCTCCAGTAACCACTTTACACCAGATGGCCTGTGAGCTCGTCCACCCATACAAGCAATAAAAAAAAAACACCGACGGGTCTTTTTTGATTACGCGGATTCTAAGTCTTTTGAACTTCCAAAGCTTTTAGCCAATGACACTGTTAAAATCACGACAAGCCAGCCACCGAACCATAGTCAACTTACGACACGCATGTTATTCCGCAACGCCACGAGGAAGTCATCTGGTCCGTGGGCTGGGGCAGTGTGCACCAGGCCTGTTCCCTTACCGGCCGTGACGTGGTCTCCGGGGAGGAACGGCAAGACCTCATTCACCAGAGCGTGCCTATACGACGTGCCTTCTAATTGGGCACCTAACAAAAAGGATTCCGGTATTAAATAATTATCAAGCACCATCGTTTTTACGAAACTTCCAATTAATCTCTTCATATTAAATGGCCCTGACCTAGGATTGTCACATTATTAGTACCTGAAAATCGAATATCCTCATTTATCTTTTACTGGTGGTAGGACCTCTTGTGAGTCCACGCGGGTAGGTACCACCACCCTGCCTATTTCGACCGTGAAGCAGTAATGCGTTTCGGTTTGAAGGGCGGGGCAGCCGTTGTAACTATACTGAGACCTTAGAACTTATATCTCAAGTTAGGTGGCGGGATTTACGTTGTACATGTCCATGGGCTCTAGTAACCACTTAACACCAGGTGGGCTGTGAGCTCGTCCGTCCGTCAAAGCAATAAAAATAAAATACAAGACTTACCATCAAACTCTATGATCTTCTTAATTTCAACACTTAATATTTGTTCCAAGCTGCCAATAAGGCTGGTGGCCACTAAAAATTGACCAGGTCGGTTGGACAATGTCACGATGCTGTACATCATTTGAGGGTTGTAGCAGATCGCTCGATTGGCGGGCAGGGTCCAAGGTGTCGTCGTCCAAATAATTGCAGATAAAGGCATACTGGAATGATAATTATTGCAGTCTTTAAAATTCATGTGTCATCCATACATACTAATCTAGAGCAGAGAAAGCAGTAAAGCTATTGTATGTTTTTTATTTTTTATTTATTGCTTAGATTGGTGGACGAACTCACGGCCCACCTGGTGTCAAGTGGTTACCGGATCCCATAGACATCTACAACGCAAATGCCGCCACCTACCTTGAGATATAAGTTAGAGAGTTACAACATGATTACCGCCACATGGAAACACGTAGTTTCAATACAACTTTGCGTCAGGATAATAGTACTTACCTGCATGGGCTCCAATATGCTCTACCATTATATGCCATCCAAACCCTTATTTTTTTTTTTTTTTTTGTTGCTTAGGCTGGTGTACGAGCTCACGGCCCACCTGGTGAAAAGTGGTTACCTGAGCCCGTAGACATCTACAACGTAAATACCGCCACCTACCTTGAGATATAAGTTCTAAGGTCTCAGTATAGTTACGACGGCTGCCCCACCCTTCAAACCGAAACGCATTACTGCTTCACGGCAGAAATAGGCAGGGTGGTGGTGCCTACCCGTGCGCACTCACAAGAGGTCCTACCACCAGTAATCAACTTCATTTCACTTCATAATATCATTTTTCATATAAAAAAGTTTTCATTAAAATTAAAATAAGACTTGACCTAAAGGTTTTAGTTACCAGGTCATAAAATCCCTTAGAAAAAAAAGGCGTATAACGTTATATTTAAGTGCTTGTCTCAATACAACTTTGCATCGGGATAATAGTACCTACCTGCATGGACTCCAATATGCTGTACCACTATATGCCAACCAACCCCTTATATTCAGGCAGCGGCTTGGCTCTGCCCCTGGCATTGCTGAAGTCCATGGGCGACGGTAACCACTCACCATCAGGTGGGCCGTATGCTCGTCTGCCTACAAGGGCAAAAAAAAAAAAAAAAAACTATTCTATACACTTATACACGACACTTACCCGTTCACATAGTCACTAACACAACCAGGTGCCTTCTCTATGGGAAACGCGACATAAACTTCTGTGCTTCGGTACTGCGGATCGTATTCCAGTTCCGCTTCCGCTAGAGCTGTTCTGGAAATTAGAATTTATTTTATCTGGTTCGTAAAACGATAAAATATGACATCATACTTTTAATCCTTATCATGGATTCTCTTAATTTTACATTGTGGAAAAACACTACATATAGTACTATACTCATGCATTCTGGTAAAAAAATTATATATATATATATATTGTCTATTGAATTCTTAGGAAAGGAAATGTTACCGAACAAAAAATTATAACTAATCTTTATTACCAGAAAAGTGTGTTTAATGTAATTGAAGTTACCATCAAACCCAGAGGCCCCAGACTATGAGATCATGTGCTTTGAGACTGTTATTAAAACACACATTCAGTCATACTCTGGCTATTTTAATAATGGTGGTAGAATATAATGAGAGCTTGTTAGTACCACCAGCTAAACTCTTTATACTGATAAGCAGTAATGCATTCTGATTTGAAGTATGTGATAGCCATTAGGAAATTCACACAGTGATGTCAATGGGATCTAGTAACTGATTAACATCATTCATACAGGAATGCAAAAGAAAGGACAGAAAGTATGCATTTAACGATAGGCAGCAGCTTGGAACAGTAGGCAGCGGCTTGGCTCTGCCCCGAACATTTCTGAAATCCATGGGTGACGGTAACCACTCAACATCAGGTGGGTCATAATATGCTCTCTACAAGGGCAATAATTTTTTTTAAGACAGTAGTACCAAGAGTAAAATAGTAAGGGATAGTAAACAAGAAGTATTTCAAGACTATTTAAAGTGTTATTTGTGATGGATATGCAATGTCAGTTTTACTAGTAACCATATTGGTTTGTTCAGAATTATAATGTTTCTTTATTTTTTGGAATCGACTATTGACATACTACATATTGGGTTTTAAATGGTTACTGGAAGCAAGATATATGATTGCATAATTAATTTTTAGTCAATTTACATGATTATGGAAGTTTACAACATGTTATACCAATACTAAAATAATGTATCAGATATTAGTATTAAATCTTGTGGTAGTTTCTGCGAAGCATTGCTCTTGCTAGGGTTAGTGTTAGCAACGTCATCAGGTTTGAGCCCTGTGAGCTGACCTACTTGTTAAGGTTACACTGAAATGGTCTCAAGACCTTCAGCATAGGTAGATAAAAAAAGTATTATTTACAATATACAGTCAAAACCGTTTACTGCGACATCGTTTAATACAACATGCCGGTTATAATAACCAAGAACAAAGGTCCCGGCTGAATGCCATATGACCGCCTTATTAAAAATATTGCTTTCTACGACATTGGTAATAACGACATACCTCATAAAACGACCACATTTAACTAATATTTCGGAGAATTAGATCTGTTAGAACGACCGGCTAAGCTGTATTGTAAACAATTTGAATAGGTATCCACATTTGTCTTCAATGGCTTTTAAAATCAGGAAAGAAAACAATAGGATTTAGTTTAGTGTAGGGTCTTTTCTAATTCTTAGAAACAAAACACGTGCATGCAGTAGTCAAAGCCCACTTCTTCATATCTCTTCAGTTAGTTTGTTACTTATCTATACACAAGACGCACCAAAACTTTGTGGAGTTATTCGTGAAACTTACAAAATCTCGCAAAGAAAAAGAAAACAAATTAATATTGAAGAAAAATCGCGTATTATGTAAATATATTTTTCCAATAATTCCCTGTCGATTTGTTTGTACTTGCACGATACACATTAAACATCACCGGTTGTTACGACTATCGGTTTTTACGACTGAATATGAGCAGTCCCTTCGATGTCGTTATAACAGATTTTGACTGTAGTCACAAGGTTGCCAGACAACAGAACAACTTACCTAGAGGAAGGGCTCCAATAAACTGGCTTTAATGCACGAAATATATAGCCCTTCTCATACATTTTATGAAACAAATGCAATTGATTCTTCACATAATTATTTTTTAGAGTTAAATAACTGTGATTCTCCCAGTCAGCCATGATACCCCAACTAATAAATGCTTGCTTTTGTTTTTCAACGGTTTCTAGGGCAAAGCTCCTTGCCATAGTACGTATGGCAATAGGATCAGTACCGGTTGATGATTTCTTGGATTTTTGTAATGCTTTAAGTTCTATCGGAAGTCCATGACAGTCCCAACCCGGCGTATAATGTACCTTGTTTCCTTGTAATATCTGACTGCGATTATTTATATCTTTAATTATCTGAAAGTGGTATCCAAATTAAATTTCAACAAATATATTATTTTGAAATAGACCTTGAAGGCTTTCTTAAATTTCTATATTATAGTCAATACTAAAACTATTAAATACATATATAGTGTAGCCAAAACATCTATAGCATCATATTTTCATTCATTAAGATAATCTCAAAATAGTTCAGGTTAATTTCTGATAATGCTATATTAACCTTGTTCACAGCATGTCCCATATGTAAATCACCATTAGCGTAAGGCGGCCCGTCATGTAGCACAAATTCGGATCCTTTCAAGTTTTCCCTCTGCCATGAATATAATTCCGAAAATTGTGCACTCTGCAAAAATACTTAAGCATTTTAACTTTCTTTAAAACTGTATAAAATGGCATTATTTGACCCAAATAGAGGGTTTTTAAACTTGCTAGACCTTTTTCTGGTATATTTTATTTCGTTCCCTGTGATTTTAGCTATTTTTACCTTTTGAATTTCATCTTTTACTACGGCAGTCGAACGCACAGGAAATTTTGTTTTAGGAGTCAATACCGTATGAGAATAGGTCTTGGTTTTTGGTTCTGCTGAACTTTTTAAGCGTACGCAGCTTTTGCAGTCCCATTTTGTAAGCAATATCCGATAATTCCATCTTTTTATCAATGAATTTAAAAACATTTTTAGGTTATTTTATTTTTGTATTGCGGTTTGACAGTTGTAGTTACTTAAATGTCAAATTTTGGCATGTTAAGTGTTAGGCAAAGCCTTTGCCAAAAAATATAAATAAAAAGTAAAAAGGTAAAAGTAGGTATCATTAGACGTCGAAAAGTCAACAGTTTATATTTTGTTACCGTTGTTATTGTTTATTGTCTTTAATATCGATTTATTCAATTCAGCAAATATAACTTCAATCCGATGTATTAATGGAAGTATCTCCCTACTTTACTCCAACTACTTACGACTTCCCTGTCATTAATCCATGGTGAATTAGGTACTTATTTACTTTAATTTGCTCTATTTAAGTAGTTCTTAGCTTATTTTTTTTATTTAACCAATATATAATATTTTTTAACATTTTACGGAATGTTTAAGACAAATTACTAAAAATAAATTTGAGATCATGAATTTTCATTGAAACTAGGCATAGGTAGTTGTAATTATTATGAATTTTGTGTACCTACATACTAAGGTATTTTTGTGTATTTACATAGGTGCTTATTCAATGACCATATTGTACAATGCGTAATGTGCCCAAATAGTTTTGATGGTGTTAACAATTAAAAACTCCTCATTATACCACTGTTAATTTATACCACGAAGAAATGTTATATTTTCAGTCATAAAACTAGCTAATATACCCATATAATACTTTAATATAGGGTAATCGTAAATGTACATATTATAACAATGCCATTAAAACTGAACCATATTTTTTTGTTTTTTTTGGATTGAAGGATTGCTGGTGGCCCTGAAGCCTTTCCAATTTCATCAGGACAGGTGGACGAGCACGACCTCAGCCAGCAAGAGTGGAATTTGCTAACAGCTACCCGAGCGCTTCCAAAGAAGACCTAACAACTCAAGAGCAACTGCTTCACGAATGAATCTACCACCGGATCGGAATCTCGACCCGCTGAGAAGATCCGGCGAAAAACTCAGCGGGCTGATGTTCAGGTTAGGTTGCACGTCGAACTCTTTGCCGAGTTCGACGAGTACGTTTACCGGGATCCCTAAGCCTAGTCTTAGATAGAGCTGCAGGCGTCTAATGCAAGAGTTATTGGATCTAATGGATCCGTAAGGACGTGTCTAGGGCGCCGTATATTGTGTCGTGGTGACAACGGTCAAAGAATTTTAGATAATAACGACATTATACAATTATCTAATTATCGCAACGATACCACGAAGGAAACCATTAAAATTAAAATAATAAAACCTGGTTCAGAGATTATCCATTGCCATACAGCGTGGCAATGCTGCTAGCGTAATGGGTACTTTCGGGCCGGGTGTGATCCAGAGTGGCTTGTTTGACTAGCCGATGCCTACGCGCGCATTGCTGTAGCGTGGACCTATATGTTACTTATGACGACGCTTGTATCTCAAAGTAAGTATTGTACTCTTTGACGAAGCATGTTGCAGATAACTCTATTTCTCTAATCTGACGAAGCGTGTTGCGGATAATAACAAATAAAATACTTCAAGAACTGCACGTGTAACTATTCTATTTATTTATTTACACCAAAATATCCGATACAGCTATTAGTTTTCATAAATAGTCTTTGGGATTGAATGTGTGTCGATGATGCTCTTATAGTAGTGCGCTGAAGCACGTGGCGTCCGCGTGCGCTCCGGGGAGGTGAAGTTCACTTCGTATAATCCGAATTTGGATCCGAGACCATCGTTCCACTCGAAGTTGTCCATCAGAGTCCACGCTGTGAACCCCACCACGTTGACGCCGTCCTCGTGGATGGCTAGAAGTAACTGATGAAGAAATAAATTTTTAATTCACTTCATATTGAGAACCTATATAGGTAGCCCCTACTATACTATTTATTTCTGGCGGAAATCAGTCATTTATTCAATCATTTTGGACCAATGAGTAGGACAGGGGCAATTGCGACAGCAGAATTTATATCTAGAAGTCGATGTGGCCTAAAGAATACAACGTCCGGTGCATTCTTGTTGAACGATGCACCGATGTTCGAATCCCAGGCGGGTACCAATTTTTCTAATGAAATACGTACTCAACAAATGTTCACGATTGACTTCCACGGAGAAGGAACAAGATCGTGTAATAAAAATCAAACCCGCAAAAATTATAATTTTCGTAATTACTGGTGGTAGGACCTCTTGTGAGTCCGCATGTGTAGATACCACCACCCTGCCTATTTCTGCCGTGAAGCAGTAATGCGTTTCGGTTCGAAGGGCGGGTCAGCCGTTGTAACTATATTTGAGACCTTAGAACTTATATCTCAAAGTGGCTGGCGCATTTACGTTTTAGATGTCTATGGGCCTCAGTAACCACTGAACACCAGGTGGGCTGTGAGCTCGTCCACCCATAAAAGCAGTATATTTTTTTAATTCAACATTGAGAATCTGTATAGGTAGCCACTACTACGCTATTTATTTCTGGCGGAAATCAGTCATTTATTCAATCATTTTGGACCAATGAGTAAAACAGGGGGAATTGCGACAGCAGAATTTATATTATCATGTCCAATGGCCCTGCTATCTACCGAACAACAGGTAAGCTTAGAGTTACTATCTCGGACGCCATCTCACAACTGGGAAACCTGATAACTTGAAAATCAAAACCCAAATATACTGCCTGGCCTCAAATATTGTCTCTTTCTGAGTGCAATGAAACGTAAATAAATAGTATTCCTGTTAATTTTAATGCATTATCTATGATACTTGGCCTAAACTAAAAAAAAAAAAAAATATGATATTCGTTTTGGTTGTGCAGTAATGGAGGGTAGAAGTAAATAATAACATCTCGGTATATTAAAAAGTGTTAGGTGAAAAGTAGCCAAATAAGGTGGCGCTGCAGTAGCAAGAAAACCTTGAAAAATTGATTGTGGTGGGCAAGGCAGAAGGGAAAAGACCCGCCGGCCGGCCACCAAACCGTTGGTCGGATCAGATAGCTGCGCTCACTGGACTCTCTGTTGCGAACGCCCCGAGAGGAGCCGAAAACCGAAGCAAATGGAAGCTGATGGTGCAAAGAGTCACGAAGGGCTTTCACGGACACGACCTTCAGCAATGAAGTATACGACTAAGAAGAAGAAGAAGAAGTAGTAGCAAGTGGAAAGATTTTAAAAACAGCGCCATAGCATTTATTAAACCAAACAGCTAGCTATTTTTTTTTTTACTCGAGTCTCTTCTTTGACGAATGACTCTGCCAATGTTAGATAGATAGAATATCAGTGATATATATAGATGATGGTAGATGAGAAGAATGAGAACGGGAGAAAAAATGGTAAATATTTTTACAGTTTAATGTTATTGCGGGAAATAAAATAAGCTTATGCATTTACAATTTTAGGATTAAGGAATGTTAGAAGATAGTTCATATTAACTGGGAACGGGATGTTAGTGTTAGTTAGTAAGCTAGTTAGTGGTGGGAATTCATCATTAAGAGCGCATTCCAGAAAGATATGATCTAAAGTACCGATAGATTTACCGTAACATAGGAGAAGGTTAAATTTTTAGCTTAAATCGGCTAGCTATTGTTGGGGACTCACCGAAATAGCACTAGTGTAGGAAGTGGAAATTCTATGAATATAGCAGCTTCAAACAGATTGAAGTGTTCTTTAATTGTAGTGAAGGCTATGTTCCGATGTACCCGCGGTCTGGGAACCGGGGTACATTGCCCCAAATGGGGTAATTGGAAATTTTGGGGGGTAAAAATGAAACTTTTGTGTGTCGAGTGAAACTTCTTTAGAATGGTTAAATTTTTAGTTATTGTTTTCTTTTCCAAATTATCACGGGGGCTATAATATGAATGATACTAAAGAGAAGCGATTTCGTTTTTTTTTTAGTTTTTCGCCATGGGGTAATAATATCAACTTACACAAAAATATTTTGGGGTCATAATTAAAAAGTTCCTCGACCGCTGCGATATACACTGCGAACACACGTATACTTAACTCCTTACAAGTAAGCACATTTGTTAACCTCTTTTAAATGATCCCTATAATACTCGACCCTCATTCTGTCATCCAATCCTGGTCCAGTCGAAATACCGTTTTCAGTGATCAAGAACTTCAGGTCCCCGTATTTTTCTTTCAACCACATAATTTGAGGTCGGAAATATTCAGGGGTTACCTGAAAGAAAGAAGAAATAATATTCAAAAAAGTTCTCATACACTATTTCCATATTGCCCACGAGAAAGTAAACTAAACGAATAATTTTTTTAAACTTTCGCGGCTATCCACATTACGCACGCTATAATTAAACTGATTCTTTTACCATGATTTTCGTATTCAAGTCGTCGTGGCCTAACGGATAAGATGTCCGGTGCATCCGTGTTGAAGCGATGCAGCGGTGTTCGAATCCCGCAGGCGGGTACCAATGTTTCTAATGAAATACGTACTCAACAAATGTTCACGATTGACTTCCACGGTGAAGGAATAACATCGTGTAATAAAAATGAAACCCGAAAAAATATAATTTGCGTAATTACTGGTGGTGGGACCTCTTGTGAGTCCGCGCGGGTGGGTACCACCACTCTTGCTATTTCTGCCGTGAAGCAGTAATGCGTTTCGGTTTGAAGGGTAGGGCAGCCGTTGTAACTATACTTGAGACCTTAGAACTTGTATCTTTTTTTTTTTTTAATAGGCAATAAAAAAATAAAATAAAAAATCGATCTTGACCATTATTGCTCCATGATAACGTGAGACCTCATACAGCACGAGAAACCGTTTTAACTCTACAGGAACTGCAATTCGAAACCATTCGTCACCCTCCGTAATCGCCAGACCTTGCTCCAACGGACTGCCATTTTTTCGTGATTTGAACAATTTTCTACGTGATAAAAAGTTTTCTTCCCAGGAGGCAGTACAAAATGCTTTCACACAGTTTGTAGAACCTAGATCACTCGAGTTATATCGCAAAGGCATACATAAATGACCTTCCTATTAGATGGTAGCAATATATAGATAATAATGGTAGATATTTTGTTTAAATAAATATGATAGATTAGCTTGTGCCCGCGAATCCGCCCGCGTGGAATAGTTACTTTGGCATAACGCTAAATTTTACCCCTCACTTCATTTACGTAGAAAGTGAATATATTTTGAAACATTCTTCATTGGTGCTCCACTGTTATTGGTCTTACCGTGATGTTATATAGCCTATAGCCTTTCTCGATAAATGGGCTATCTAACACTGAAATAATTTTTAAAATCGGACCAGTACTTCCTGAGATTAGCGCGTTCAAACAAACAAATTCTTCAGCTTTAAAATATTTCTAGCGACCCGCCCTCGCTTCGCTTCGGAAACTGTTATTGATTATTGATTTCTCCACTATTTAATGGATGTTATTAAACACATAAACCTTCCTCTTCAATCACTCTATCTATTAAAAAAAACGCATCAAAATCCAATGCGTAGTTTTAAAGATTTAAGCATACATAGGGACAGATATAGGGACAGAGAAAGCGACTTTGTTTTATACTATGTAGTGAAGTATAGATGAAAAAAAAAACAGATTTCCATTTTTAGTACAAATTGGCAATTTCATACTTTAACCCCTAACTAACTAACATAGAACCAGCTAGAATAGCCGGCGACCCAGCTTGGATCTTTCTCGAAGGCTGCGTCAAAATCAGGGGCACCGCTCAGTGGCCAGGCTCCGATAGATTCGCCGGGCCTCGCCTTCCGCACCAGACGACTCGTGTAGAAATTCATTCCGTAGTAGTCGTATGTACCTGCATACAATGGATTCTTTAGGATTTATCTCTAAATTAATACGTGAAGCAAAAACTTTGTATCCCTTTTTACGAAAATTGCGCCGACGGAGGAGTATGAAATTTCACACACTTATAGAGAATTTGGAGAAGAAGTGCAGAGTGCTAATATATTTTTTAAATTATGCATAAAAATACATTAAATCAATTAAAAAACATTATACAGACTACCATGTGTTTTACACACACACACACACACATGTATTATGTTTATTGTTAAAGTCTGTGGTCAAGTCAATTGTTAATTGTTAATATTATTTGTCTAAGTTGTAGCCTTGCCGAAATTTGTGGTTGTAGAAGTAAAGTCTTTGACAATAGAACCACAGTAATGTTCAAACTTATAAGTTCAATTAATTATACTCGAATTTCGACTACTGCGGGACCACTGGTTTCAAGAAAGATACAAGATACAAAGATGTCAAACGTCTCTCGATCAGATCGACCTAGACCAGTAATCCGACCCGGATCCAAGTACATTGAAAATCATTAACCACTTGATTGACAAAGAGACTAAATGCACTGAAAAGTATGTTTAAAAAAGATACACTAAAAAAATTTAAAACTACTAATTATTTATTTATTGCTTAGATTGGCGATCGAGCTCACGGACCACCTGGTATTCAATGGTTACCGGAGCCCATAGACATCAACGGCGTAGATGCCGCCAATTTCAGTTTTACAGAAACTGATTATTGCTTCATGGCAGAAATATGCAGGGTGCTGATACCTTGCAGACTCACAAGGCGCAACCACCAGTTATTAATAAAATTAAATTTTTTGCAGGATGTTCCTTCGGCGTGAGGGTCATTTTTAAAGCCTAAAAGTACTGAGAGTGGATCAGGAGGATCCGATAGGATGTACTTAGGGCGACTGTGGGTCTTCATTGCTCCGAAATCTGGATTGAGTATACATAGTATTTAGAGGCAGGCGAGAAAATGGTTTGTTGTATCACGCTATTTCTTTGAAATACAAATATGAAATACAATAAATAATAGTTTAAAAAACTAACAAAATATGCTTTTATAGAGAATCCAACTAAAAAATTGAGATTAATTTTTAATGAATTTTAATTAAAGATAGTGTAAGAAAAAATGATTTTATTGTAAAAAAGCGTGTGTTGCTTTTCAGGATATTATCATAATAGCCCTTCTACTCATATCTGTTCATAAAATATTTTTAACTACTAATACCATGATGCACCCCACGTTTTTTTTTTGTACAATAAAATCATTTTTTCTTACGCTATCTTTAATTAAAATTCATTAAAAATTAATCTCAATTTTTTAGTTGGATTTTCTATAAAAACGTATTTTGTTAGTTTTTTAAACTATTATTTATTTTTCATTTATGAGTTGAATTTCAATTTTTAATTTTTTTTTTATGTTGAATTGTCATCGTTCCTTAACAAGTATACCAAATTTTGAGTTAATCCAACGATTTGAAGGGGGTCAAAATCATGTTCAAAGATTCCGTTACAAACATACATACAAGTCTGAAGCTAATAAAAGCGTACTAAAAAAGTACCTCTAATCAAATCTATTTCCTCTTTCGTGAAAGGCGGGAGGACCGATTTGTTGAATCCCTTGCGTCTGCCGACCTCTTCCAGATGCTTCTCCAGAGACGGTGGCCAACCTCCCTCCTTTGAGTAGACTGGGTGACTATACCGACCGGCCTGAAAGAAGTGGATATTATTGTCTTTCGTGATTGTAAAAGCTGAACAATGTTTTAGCGGTAGGCAGCGGCTTGGCTCTGCCCCTGGCATTGCTGAAGTCCATGGGCGACAGTAGCCACTCACCATCAGGTGGGCCATATACTCGTCTGCCTACAAGGGCAATAAAAAAAAGCTAGTGCTCAATCTAAATCAGAAGCGCGGATGGCAAGCACTTCTGTAGATAAACATCAAGCAGTAAAGATATATATATATTTATTATTTAAGGATTACTTGTGGCCCGGAGGCCTTCCCAGTTTCACCAGGACAGGTGGGCGAGCAAAGGCTCAGCCAGGAGGGGTGGGATTTGCCAACAACTGCCCGAGCGCCTCCGAAGAGACCTAACAACTCAAGAGCACTTGCTTCGCGAATGAATCTACTACCGGATCGGAATCGCGACCCGCTGAGAAGATCCGGCGATAAACTCAGCGAGCTGATTCATGGGTTAGGTTGCACGGCGAACTCTTTGTCGACTTCGACGAGTACGGTTACCGGGGTCCCTTAGCCTGTTCCTAGTGTTAGAGCTGAAGGCGTCTAATGCAAAGGTTATTGGATCTGATGAACCCGTAAGGACGTGTCTAGGGCGTCGACGGTGACTGGCTCCTGTGTGATCAGGATTAGGGGAGTAGTCAGCGGCGGCAACGATAAGGCAATTATCATGAAACATAGCCTTATCGAAGTACCGTTCCGACGCTGACTTCATGTATTTCTGGATAGATTCGAGTAAAGATATTTTGTGCTCTGATGACTTTAGTGTTCGTTGTTGGTGGTGGTAAGGTCACCAGTGCCGGGCGGCACAATAACGAGTCCGTAATTGGATGGACAGTTTATTTCCAATCACAGATAGTATAGCAATATTTAGAAGGAGAAATTACGGAGTACAGAAGGTACAGATAAAGCGGTAGCAAGTTCAAACACAATAATACAAAATAGACGAAAGCAATAAATCGTAACGAAGCAAAAGAGTACGCGTAAGTCAAGGAGTGACACAGTCTTAGGGTGGCGTTGATCAAACCCGACTGGCCGCGAGCGGCGGCCGAGTCGTGGCGCAGGCGACGACCAGTACGTACGCAGTTATACATAGTCGGGGTCCTTGCTGCATACTAGCAGTTACGCCCGACTATGCTTGTGTAAATAATATAATTTTGAGTAGTGTTGTGAATGTATGATCGTTTAGCGTATTTGTGTACTGTATGAGAGTGTGTTATAGAATACGTAATTAAATATGATATAATATTAAATATTGCGCAGGTGTACAATGTAAATTAATAAATAATATGAACTAATATACATAAATATAGTAGAAACACCTACAATGACACATATGGCCTGCATTAGCCCCTGAAGGTCTGAGCTAATAAAACGGAAATTAGCATTTCACTTACTATATTTTCTCTTAGCAATTCAGCAAGTTCTTCATGCTCAGCAGATAATGCTTCGTACCAGATCAGGGGAATGGCCAACGTGATTTCACCTGAAAACGAAGGAAAACCTTCTAATAATAGAAGCTTACTGCTGACGGATGACCGTAAGAAAAGACTGTAAGCATGAAGCTCTCTTCGTGAAACGACCCCACAAAAGTTTACGTGGAGAAGCTATCCAAGATTATTATTTCTTATATGGGTGGACGAGCTCATAGCTTACCTCGTGTTAAGTGATTACTGGAGCCTAAAGACATATACAACCTAATTGCACCACCCACCTTGAGATATAAGTTCTAAGGCTTTAAGTATAGTTACAACGGCTGCCTTACCCTTCAAACCGAAACGCATTACTACTTCACGGCAGAAATAGGCGGGATGGTGGTACATCCCTACCCAAGAGGTCCTAGCACCAGTAATTACGCAAATTATAATTTTGTGGGTTTGATTTTTATTACACAATGCTATTCGTCACCGTGGAAGTAAATCGTGAACATTTGTTAAGTACGTATCTCATTAGAAAAAAAGGTACCCGCCTGCGGGATTGCGAACACCGGTGGATCGCTCAACACAAATGCACTGGACGTCTTATCCTTTAGTCCACGACGAATTCAAAACATATTTTACGTATTTGAGGTTCAATTAAAAAGATCGGATTGTTAATGCTAACAACACCAAATAAAACGAACTATTAATTACAAAGATACATTTTGCGTATTAACCGAAAAGTCGCTTATAATAAATTGCCTTTCATATGTAGTCATAGATAAGTAGTCAACCTGGTAGTGAGCTCATACGGGAGGCTTTACTGGTGGTAGGACCTCATGTGAGTCCGCACGGGTAGGTAGAGCTTAGAACTTATATCTCAGGCTGGGTGGTGCATTTACATTGTAAATGTCTATGGGCTCCTGTAACCACTGAACACCTAGTGGGCTGTGAGCTCGTCCACCCGTCTAAGCATTAAAAAAAAAGGCTAAGATTATCCCTGAACGGTCGAAGGATCAGTTGAACGTATTGCCGTAAGAATATTAGAACGGTCAATTCGTTCTTTTTCGTCTTTTTGTGTCTTTCTTTAAGGACGTCAAACAATGTACTGCCGTGTCGCCGGTCACGTACGCCCTAGTTCCATTTCTTTTCGAATTCTTTTCAAATTTCTGTCTTAGTCTGTGTCTATGTCTAGTCATTGTAGGTCTTATGTCCTGTCAAAGAGTTTGCACGCCACGACAATCCCGCCTATTGCTAGCTACCGAAGCAGTAATGTATAATAGACTGAATAGTGAGCTGCTAAACTATACAATTGAATTATCTCCGGATAACGCGACCTGTAGACACAATTAAATCAAGTTTTAGGACTTGAATCTCGCGCGCTTTATTGTCAAAACCATTATTTCCGTTTGTTGGTTGTCCGTAAATACCATGTAAGTATACGATACGTCGGAAATAATAGAAATTTTGATTATGATACAATTCAAGCTCAATTCTTCTCGCTTCGACTTATCTGATGGTGGGTGGAGAATTTCATTCTATTTAGGACTTCCGATATGAATGCAAGAGAAAAATTTAATAATGGCATTCTTCTTTCTTTTTCTCCACCTTATCCCACTAGGTGGGGTCGGCACAGCTAATTTTTCTCTTCCATTCTCTTCTATCAGCCGTCATCTCAACACTCACTCCTCTCTTTCTCATATCGTCATTCACACACTCCATCCATGTCTTCTTCGGTCGACCTCTTCCCCCTCTACCTTGCACTACCATTTCCATACATCTCCTAGTCACATGCATCTTCTCTCCACGCATCACATGTCCATACCACGCTAACCGTCCGCTCCTTAATTTGTTGTTTACCGGGGCCACTTTCACACTTCCTCTGATATACTCATTCTTTATCTTATCTTAAATGTAATAATGGCATTGACGACATTAATTGAATATGCAATTTCGAAAAGGGCACATGTCGCATATTTTGTCAAATACGTTTTTTTCATATTTCATGTAGTTTTGAGGCTTACCTACACCCATTTTATAATAATTACAGTAATTTCCAATTGCTAATTAACACTAAAATATATCTCAAAAGTTAATGTTTTAAATTTTACACTGCTTTAGCAAAAAAAAATCAGTTTTTTTTTTGTCATTTCCTTAACATTTTACATTTTCAGAGATTTACCCTTTTCGAAATTACATATTCAATTTGAATGAAGTTCAAATTTTTTTCTGAATTAAAATTTGATAACTACCCTATTATTGTCGAGATATGGTTAATTAGGTGTTCCTAATTAAACAAACACAAAACTGCACCAAATTATTAACTAAAAAACTTACCGTTATACATTGGCCTGAATTCCTCGTCATAAATCCTCCAAGCTTTGGCGTGAGCTAGCAAAACATGCTTAGTACACACATAAGGGGCCACGTGAGGCTCTAAAATAGGAGGAGCCATTCCGCCAGTGTTATAAACATAGTCGCAAATCGATACAGGCTCGTTTATTGTGACCCAAGTTTTAACTCTATCCGCGAACAGAGAGAACACGACCCTAGCGTAGTCCTCAAACCAGTCGACTATCAGCGGATTCATCCAGCCACCTGGGAATAATAATAAAAAGAAACATGCAGCTTTTCATTTTTGGAAGTTTGGAAGTTCGACGACGGATAATTTCTTATGTTTAAAAAATTACGTTGTATCTTTGCGAAATTGGACTCAACGCAGTTTTGCTAAGACTGGTGTCATTAAATTTCAAAATCGACCATCTTTAATATACATAACACATTTATTTAAACAAATTAATTGTTGATAAAACAATAAAAACAATGCCAGACCTCATATGATTTGCCTGTATTTTAAAATCAACAAATATAGTAGTAACCTTTAATTTTCTCGAAACAAAATAAAATGGACTTACACCACTTTCAAAATACACGGTCTATATGTATAAGGATTAGCTATGTGAAAACTTCGAAACCATTCCGCGTCCTTCTTCCATGAGCTTGAGAGTAGGGTTTGAGAGTTTTTGGGTTATGTTTGTACGATGGGTCAAAAAAACTTGGAAATTATCATATAGACAACTAGGTGTACCCGTCCGCTTCGCTGGGCATTTAAAATTAACATTATTATTTCTGACCCCCACAAAGATTCTCATCATTAATGCCCCCGCAACTGATGTAGGGAGTCCAACACTCATATAAATATTAGCCTATCCATTATTGCGGGCGGTGGTACCTACCCGTGCGGAATCACAAGACGTCTTACTACCGGTCTCTGGTTTAAATCCCTCATGACACGGTAAACTGAGTTGTAGAGTCATGCAAGGCTCTGAAAATGTCATCATACGTAGTGATACCTCATCGTTGTTGTGTCGAGGAGGGGGCGTAAACCTATACGCCTTTCAACGAATGGCGTATGATTATTCCTTTGATTATTCCAAGTATAAAGTACGTCACCCTGGTCTTTAAACTCTCGATTTTCAAAACTTATTATATTACTAGCTGTACCCGTCCGCTTCGCTGGGCATTTAAAATTAGCATTATTATTTCTCACCCCCACAAAGATTCATCACCAACTGGTGTAGGGAGCCCCCGCAATTGGTGTAGGGAGTCCAACACTCATATAAATATTAGCCTATCCATCATGTATTTTATACATGGATACCAAGTTTCAAGTCAATCGGATGCACGGTTCAGTAGTTATAACGGAACATCCGTAAAAACCACTGTAGATTTATATATTAGTATAGATATAGATTACTAGCTGTCCCGGCAAATGTTTTGCCATAATATTATACATTATTTCTAGAAAATATTTTTTTTTTAGGTGGACCAACCTTCGGGTCAATGTTGGTTGTGAAAAATAGATGTTAACCGATTATCAGACCTACCCGATATGCACACAAAATTTCATGAGAATCGGTTGAGCCATTTCGGAGCAGTTTGGCAACAAGCGCCACGACACGTAAATTTTATGTATTATAATATTATCTAATACTCTAGAAAACTTTTCGATATCGAGTCGAGGGAACCCGCGCCTCCCTACGACCTCTCACAGCTGGAGTCCCGCAAGGCTCTGTCCTCTCACCCCTCCTATTTAGCTTATTCGTTAACGATATTCCCCGGTCGCCGCCGACCCATTTAGCTTTATTCGCCGACGACACGACTGTTTACTATTCCAGTAGAAACAAGTCCCTAATCGCGAAGAAGCTTCAGAGCGCAGCCCTAGCCCTAGGACAGTGGTTCCGAAAATGGCGCATAGACATCAACCCAGCGAAAAGTACTGCGGTGCTATTTCAGAGGGGAAGCTCCACACGGATTTCCTCCCGGATTAGGAGGAGGAATCTCACACCCCCGATTACTCTCTTTAGACAACCCATACCCTGGGCCAGGAAGGTCAAGTACCTGGGCGTTACCCTGGATGCATCGATGACATTCCGCCCGCATATAAAATCAGTCCGTGACCGTGCCGCGTTTATTCTCGGTAGACTCTACCCCATGATCTGTAAGCGGAGTAAAATGTCCCTTCGGAACAAGGTGACACTTTACAAAACTTGCATAAGGCCCGTCATGACTTACGCGAGTGTGGTGTTCGCTCACGCGGCCCGCACACACATAGACACCCTCCAATCCCTACAATCCCGCTTTTGCAGGTTAGCTGTCGGGGCTCCGTGGTTCGTGAGGAACGTTGACCTACACGACGAC